GGCCTTGGAGAGACTGCTTCGACAAGAGAGCAACAAAACCCTGGGGAAGCATGGCATCACTGTCCTGCTCGACATGAGCACTTTCTATGACACCATAGATCTCACCAAACTCCAGCAGGTGGCACAGTCCCTCAACTACCCTGCCCTGGCCCTCGAGTTTTGCCATGCAGGTCTACACTGGACCAAAGGCTGTCATAGCCGACGCGGAACTCAGTCACTGGTTCCACGTCACCAGAGGCATGGCAGCCGGATGTCCCCAAGCACCCTTGCTTGCCAAAGCATTCCTGCAACCCATTCTCAGCCCATTCCAAGCCAAGCGCCCTGGGATGGGTAGACGACATTGGGTTTGACGGCAGCCACCACAATGCAGACACACTGGCTCAGAATATTGTGGCAGCATGGCATGAACTCAGCACACAACTCCGTGAAGCTGGCCTCAAACTCAACAACCAGAAAACAGCCTTCATTGTCACAGATCGAGCCACCCAGAAGGCCCTGGAGAAACGATTGGGACCTGACGATCCCCCCATCCAATCAGTCATGCGAGACTTGGGCATTGACCATCAAGCTGGCAGGAGACGACGAATAGCCACCCTACAAAACCGCTTCAAGAAGAACAAACAACGCAGGATCAAGCTGCGAACACTCCGCCTCCCTGCTTTGAAGACACGGCTCAGGCTCCATCGAGGTGGCATCCAACCGGTCGCCCTATGGGGCATTGAAGGGCAGGGTCTAGCACCGCGATTCCACCAGGCACTCCGCCAAGCCCTTGCCACCCACCTTGGACAACGCACAGGAGGGATCACTGACGTGATCTACGACCAGCAGCAACACAAATACATGGACCCCGCTGACCAAGTTGTCCTCCAACACGTCCAACCCCTCCATTCGCTGGTCATGCGCTGGCCACCTGACCCTATACCCCATGTTGACAGAGCATGGATGGACCTCCAGACACACCTCCGCAAGCAGCAATACCCTTGGTACCATGTGAAAGGACCCATGGCCGCAACACTGGCATATCTACACGAATGGGGATGGCACACCAACAGCCTCTACGAGTGGCATCGAAATGAAACCGCCTTCATGACAGAGGCCCACATCGACATCCGCCAACCGTGGTGGCAAGTGGAAGAAGCCATCATCGCGGAAGCCAAACAACAACGCCAGAGCCGTTTTGCCATGGCAGCAGGAAAAACTGCCAATCTCTGGTCAGCGACATTGACTGGACCATAGCCAAGCAGGCCAGCAAAAAGTTCAGTCCCGGCCAAGCCAACCACATCAGGACCTGGAACCAAGCAGCCATCAGGTACAAGGAGGGTGCAACCACCAAAACATGTCCTCTTTGCCAGGTCCCGGCAACACCAAAGCATATAGTATGGATGCGCAAATGGCACCACCAGCAGAAACATACACCAATGCCCGCGCAATGCATGGAGAGGCTGCAAGACCCTTTGGAAGAGCCTTTGTGGGCTTACGGTTGGATTCCTCGAGAGCCCCAAGACCATCTCACCACACCACTCGGCCTGGAGGGGCATGGCTGTTGGCAGACTCTCGAACCTTTGCCACTCCAACCCTGGCAAGGTTTGTCGGCGACGATCGATGCCACACCGACATCAGGAGACCCCAGAGCCCAAGCCTGGATCTACGCACTCTGCATACATGGCTACTCCCTAGGGGCCCTGCAAAGAAAAGGCACCATCACGGGCATGGCAAGAGGAGCACAAACCAAAGCCCGGGCCATCTTCCAAGGGCTCCTGACTTTGGCGCAATTCATCCTGCCAGACACCAACCAGGGTTGTGGTACAAGTCAGCTCGGTTTGGGAGGCATGGACCAATCCAGCCAAGAGAAAAGGCTTTCACGATCTAGACCAAGGTCAACCAGCAGAGTACTATGATCACACCGCTTTACATCCACAAGAACCACAAGACCCCAGAAGCCCCGGGCAACGAAACACCCAGATCCACAACCAGGACAAGGAGGCATGGCAAACCATTTTGGACAACGACCATTATGAAATATACCAACATGCTGCGCAACGGCTGGCCACGATCTACGAGGACAAGGACCACTACCTGCACACCAAACCGGGTCGAGCAGATGCATACAAAACCAAGCAACGCAAGAAGGCCCTCGTCGACCAGTGCAAACAGCCCTGGCAGCTTGGCAAACATCAATGGAATACCCATCGAAGTGGGTACCAATGCCCACCAAGGGCTCCCAGCATCGCTCATTGAAGAACGCCTTCAAGAAGAATGCGCACAGCTCTGCACCAACCCCAGAACCAGATCTCCCTCCAGGCAAAGCGGTTGGGAAAAAAACCACCAGAGCCAGCCGGATTGCCACACTGCTGAAGACCCAGCAAGAGCATCCTATCACACCCGATGAACACAGGTTCCAGGAGACAACTGGGTACCTCAAGTGCAGCAAGTGCAATCAGGCCATCCACAAAAGATCGAATGAGGAACGTTTCAACCAGTTCTTGAACAGCACCTGCATCGATGTCCCATACACCACGGAGCATCAGGCACACAGCACCCACACCTTATGGCAGGTTGGAATATCCATCCAATGCAAAGGTTGTGGGCTACAAAGCCATCTTGATGAGAAGGAACAACTCATCATCACCAAAGGCTTCCAGAAGGAATGCAGAGGCCACAAGCCGAACTCACCCACCCTGGCAAACTTCTTCAGCCAGGCAAGTCAGAACACCCCAACCGCTGTGACAACAGCGGAGGCACCCACCGCACCAGCAGCGGACCGCCAGGAGGCCATTCCAAAGCTCAATGCTGGCCATGAAATCAGTTCAGGCACTCAGCCTCAAGACACACAGACTGGGCAACCCAGTGCTCTGGCAGCCACCCGCCCAGAGGCGCACGCCCCATGAAACCCAGCCAGCTCCATCCACGCCGCCACAAGACCCGGCAAGGCCAGAGGATCCCTCACCTCCGGCTCCAAAGAAGCTCCGCTTCTCCAGCGCTGCGGACACCACCATTCCGCGTGCTCAACAGGCCATGACACCCAGCCACCTGGAGCAAGGAGAAGAAGAGACCAGTGACGAGGACCCAACAGTCAATGTCGACTTCTTTTGAAGAAGACCAACGGCATCAACTGCGGCTGTGAGCGAGCGGGGTCGAACCGGCCAAAGGGCCAAAGCGCGCAACAATGAAACTTTAGAAGAAAAAATCCATACATGCATGCATCCATGCATGCATCCATGCCATACATCACATCACATCACATACATTACATACATTGCTTTACATTACATTCAGTCATACATACATTCATACCAACATACACTACATTACATTATACACATTACAGTACATTACACTAGATTACAAGACATTACAGCACATTACATTACATTACATCATACATTACCTACATACAATACCGCTACCATACCATACCATTCTGTTACACATTGTTACATTGCATTACAGACCATACCATACCACTACATTCCATTCAATTGCAGCGCATTGCACTACATTGCACTACATTACATTACATGCATACAGCCTATTGCTCAATGATATGTGAGGGTTGCAAATTAAAACACAGCACGTTCACAAAAAGTATCTAATCTATAGTTAGTTAAAGAGAGTGGAGTAGAGAGTAGGAAGTAACGTGTCAAGATTAATGTCATGCAAATCCTCTACTGACAAACTGGTCTAAGCCTAAGCTTTGTGGTTGGGGCCGGGGACCACTTCACGGCAGTACAGCACCCGACAAAACAAAAAACTTCAAAAAACAAAGAAATAAAGCAGCACAATGCACCGCACTCCAAAAGACAACTTGGGTGCTCGCATCGCACGTTTGAGAACACAAGCTGGCTTCAGCTTAGAAGAATGCCCCTGACCCACTCTTGAGCTACGAGTTCAACCACGAATTTGCTTATTCCGTGCCCTACAAGGTCACCAAGGCCGAATTGGGGAGGCATGTCCTGGTCTCGCATGCTGGATTCATCCCAAACCGTTTTAGTTTCACATTCGTGTTGAGATATTTTGAGGCTAGGTTTTCTCTTCCTTTTGTCTGTCAGCATGTCCACCCCCGTCTATGCACGAAGAACTGCACACCGTTTGGGGCCTCCACGCAACCTTATAGTGTATGTGTGTCATAGCAGTGTCATAGGTACATCCAAAGTGACACACACAAATATATGTCTATATGGGTGTGGCCAGAAACCCTGGTATGGATCGTTCCGCGGTGCAGTGAGAGTGATCCAAACCCTATGGATCAGAGCGCTGATCCAAGCCCTATGGATCAAACCGACAAGTCACTTGATTCAAGCCCCCGACATGAACACATCTGCATGGTGGCACTTCACCCCACCACTTTCTCATCAACTCACTGTGAAGGTGGTGGCTTCCCAGATCAAAGCCATCCTGTTTGTGGCAAGCCTGTTTTGAGGTTCTGGCCGCAGAGGTGGTTGTAGTAGTGGTTTGTAGTAGTGGTGGTTCGAGTCCCGGCTGTGACCACACTTAGTGGCTTCTGGTAATTAATTTTTGCTGGAATGGGAAGTCAATTTGAAGTTGAGTCTAGTGGCTTCCGCTAAGTCTGTGGTGGTGGTAATACTGGTGATAGTAGTGAGTAGCAGTAGCAGCAGCAGTAAAGCTGTTGCAGTAGTAGCAGCAGGTGGCAAGTGCAGTGGCAGTAGCAGAAGGAGTGGTGGCAGCAGAGGTGGTTGTAGTAGTGGTGGTGGTGGTTGTGTGATCCAAGGGCTTGGATCACACACCCACCTTTTGATCCATACCTTATGGATCGAGGTATGGATCGTGTGTGGGTTTGGGTGTGTGATCCAAGCCTTATGTTTCTGGCCGTAGCCATATCTATATACACAGTTAATGTATGTTAATGTTATGATATCATATGCATGTTGACAAATTGACTTATATCCAGCGAACAATCACTAGGCCCTGGGCAATCATAATGTCCACGAATGCAAGCATCACAACAAACCACTGCGACTCCAAAATACAAAGTGCGACGCCTGGGTGCTCGTTGCTGAAGCACTGGAAGCACTTCGACCAGCCGGGTTCCCTGCAGGGAAAGTCCATCAGTTGTCGCTGTTTGTCCGACTTTGCCCCTTTTACGTTCGTCGGGCTTGTCGATCATGAGGGGCCGACGGGCCGACCATCATGGCTGTTTGGGAGACACTGCTGCCATGAGTACTGAGTGGTACCAGTCTAAGGGAGAACCATAGCCGCAGTCTAGAATGCCACACGATGTTGGTGTCCTTAGCAGTATGCCCATGTATCATACCCCCAGATTAATTTTAAGTTAATCCGCATACTACCATACATTTAAAAAATAACATAATAATCCAGATGTGTTGAGATTTTGGATTAATAAGCAAAGGGAAAGGTTGCAGGTATCCTTGAGCAGGCGCAAAATAAAGCATCTTGTATGAATTTGGAAATGTCTCGGCTGGATACCAAGCCATTCACAATCCTTCCAAATCAGAGGGGCGGCAAAGATAAAAACATGTTGAAATTGTTCTGCAGGTTATTGACATCAAGGCAGGGACTGGAATAAAAAACCATGACATGTTACACACTGCCAGATCAATTTCTGAAAGAAAACACATGATAATAAATAAATAATGTGGCGCGTCAATTACATATTACATACTGCCAGATTAATTTCTAGCACCGCATGTTCTAGTCAGCATTCAAAAATTAATCCGACAAATGCAGGGGGTCTACCCCCCACCCCGCCCCCCCAGAAAATTATATAATCCATTGAAATTAATCCAACAAAATTAATCCTGTAGCCCACATGGTGCCCCGGATTAATTTTCAAAGGACCCACGCATGCCACACCTTTGGCATGTGCACATGTCAGAAAGGTCTCAAGTTGCCCTTGTTCCTGGTGGAACTACTGTAATTATCATCGTATTGAATCGCGCTGGTGAGACCAAAACAAAAGCGCAGGCCGCATAGCAGTTTTGTATTCCTGTTGAGGGCCACGCTACTGCCTTGGTAAGGCGGAACCAACGAGAGGGAGAGGAAAAAGGGAGAGTCTACTGAGTCTACTAGTAGCTTCTTGTTCCTAGTAGTAAGGCCAGGAGCTACTAGTAGCGTCCTTGCTCCTAGTAGCGATGCCCTTTGTTCCTAGTAGCGATGCCAGGAGCTAGTGAAGACAAAGAATCTGGAAACTACTAGGAACGAGGACGCGACGCGACTAGTAGCTCCTGGCTGTACTACTAGGAACAAGAAACTAGTAAAGAATCTGGAAACTATATGATTGGCATCTGATGTGCCGAGCCAAAATTGTATAAATCGACAAGGTTGGAAAGCCTCCGGGGCCTCTTCCTGGCCCACTGTGGCCTTGAACCAACCAGAGAAGCATATCCTACACATTTTAGCACAATGGGACCCTGGGATGTCTTACTAATTCAGAATCAGGGCAGCCCTTTATGTGGAAGCATTGTGCTGGTTCTTCAAAGAATGTCAGTGTCTCGGACACACGCTGTGTCAGTTCGCACGCTTCAAACAAGGCTGTGCCAATGTAGGAACGTAAACAATGTGTGGAAATCGGCAGGGGAAAGTACCCAAGGGGACGCATCCCTGGCAAGGACCTCCCTTCCAGCACGGACTCCGACCAGGATTGATGACATGGCTCCTGACCTTTTGATGCATACTTCAAGTTGAAGGCGTCCGAAGGTTTGCTCCCTCATTGAGATTCTGCAGGTGTTGGTCAATTAAGACTTGAATGGTCAAACTGCCTTCATGACGACGCCTTTGTCCAGTCTCATTGACAGTGACATGGCAGCGCCAATGAAGGAGACGGTCAGTCTGTTAGTTCGCCCTCACGTCGTGGTGGTTCTGCACCATAACCATCGTTAAACACATTGCCCCTAGTAGCGTTCTTGCTCCTAGTAGTAAGGCCAGGAGCCCCTAGTAGCGAACATAGCTCCTAGTAGCGATGCCAGGAGCCCCTAATAGCGTCCATTTTCCAAGTAGTACCATAAGCCTCTTTGCCCAAAAGGGCATGTAATTTTCATGTTCGCACACCTCTGGCTCACACCAATGCTCCATCTGACTGGCGATACAAACAACAAGAAGCACACTGACAAATAGGAACATTACATAGAGAGTGACATCCTGGTGAGCAAAATATTTTAATTGAACATGTTCCAAATGTACCAACTGCCGTTGAACTATACTGGGTGCAAACCACATGGGAGTTATGGCGTCAAGTGACATAAGGAATAGAGTCGGTAAGTCCTAAGTCATGTGAAAAGCATGTGGGTACCTAACCGTTAGGTGAGTACAGGTAGAGCAGGATGAGATGGGAGTTGTGACACGGGGGCGATGCGACCGGTGAACCTTTCGGATCTCTCGGTGTAAGGGTTCACCGGTGAAACCTTTCAGACCTTCCACGGCCGTGCTCCCTTCAGTTCATGTCTTTCCTTGAAATTTAGGATTTTTTGTGAATCAGAAAAACTTTTTTTTGCTGTTGGGAGCATGCATGAGTGTCACAACTCCCATCTCATCCTGCTCTACCTGTACTCACCTAACGGTTAGGTACCCACACGCTTTTCACATGACTTAGGACTTACCGACTCTTGTATTGGGTTGCGTCGGCAATCTGGAGACGCTTTGCATTATCTTCTTTCTGGTTCTTTTGCTTGATGACATGGGATTTATCAGTAGGAGGGTAAGGCAAATGACTTGGGAATGTGTGAGTGCCCATGTATGTTTTCTAAATCCCATGCGATCTGCACCCAGTACATACATAATCGTACAATCTTGAAATCGCCCCTACCTCCTCTCCCCATCTGCTCTGATAGACGCGCCTTCTTCAGGTGGCTTCCGCACAATGTAAACAACTGCCACTGTGCCACCTCAGCGGACAAACAACGCTCTTTGCCTTCAATGAATCCACCCCACAAAGGTTTGACTACACTGCACTACACCAGCTAAGCGCAGTTACAGTAGGGCAAACAAACTCAACCCAGCATATAGTAGCGTTGTGGCCTGCACCGCCAGCCAGTGTGGAAAGCTCTGAAAGTTTGACGTCAGCATCCTCGTGTCAGGCACTTTTACAGGTCACGTGTCGAACCACATGTACTTAGACTCTTGGACAACAAATGAGCTATGCGCACGGTGAAGTGTTGGTTACAGGATCCAGGATGATGTAAATATAGATTTAATATACACAAATTTATTGACCTCCCCTCGGCGGCCCCCCCTGCAACTGTAGTCCCCCACCTCTATTAAGGAAACAATTATGTTGGGTGCTTGGCATACCCCATCAAATAATTATGTCAGCTAAGAAACCCTCAAGCGTTTGAAAGGCAGCCGGCTCTTGTTTTCTAATTGATTGGCCAAGGTCTGTGCATGAAAAATGCCGTTGAGAACTAGTCTTTGATATTGTTTGATGATTAAATTATGTTTCAATAAACGACTAACAGCAAAACAGCCAGCTCACCTCTACTCATCCGCTGTACATATTTGGTGGGGGTCCGCAGGCCCCCAGGCACCCCTCGCCCCCCTAAATAGTTTTCATCCCGCACCATCCATGAGGAAGCCTGGAAAACTGCACGCGAAAAGCCTGATAAGGCTAAAGCCTTTGCAAACTTATGGAAAGTAAGGCATGGGCGTTTTGACTCATCACAACTACTCAAGATAATGGTCCTTACTATGCTTAATTAAAAAACAACTATTTGATGTCCGTCAAGGTAGAATGTTACGCTCCTTTCGAAAATTGCTTAAGGTCCTTGGAGAGACAGCGGTTTACTATTTTGGTTGTGTATGGAGTCCCCGCTCGGAAGCATGGTCCATGGTCCAAAGTCAAAGTTATATATTGCACACATTGTGCGCTTATATAGCATCCCCTGTCAAGTATGGGTAGGGCCTGACCCCCAGAATTCTAGAGGCCCAAACCTGTTTTTTGAAACCAATTGTTCTCTCTAAAGTTCAGGTTTCCTTTCAAATAATCTGAACATCAACCAGGCTACCTGTCAAGCAACTTCAACCCCAAGCTACATAGGTTCCAAGCATCTGCCTGTTTGGTTTGTGATTGCCTTATGTACCTACAGGTCCAACGCTTGCAGGCACGCCAATTTAATGATTACAAATGTTTGTAAACCTGGTTCCATGTTATAAGATCGTGTAGTATCCTATCAAATCATATCAAATCTTATTAGTTACAATTGCAAATCATACATGCGTCGTGTGTCTGATCTACAGGACTCATCACGTCTCACATGGTTTCATGGATTGCAAAAGCATGGTTGAGCAAAGAGCGGCAAAACAGGCTCTCTATGATATATATATATATATATAATAAGCTCCGAGCCCGTGTTATCCTATCCAAATCTGACTCTGTAAAGTCCTGGAGTGTGCATGTTAAGGACACAGTAATAAAATACACCGTGAATCCAACCTTGGATCTTTGCGCTCATACTTCTCGTCCCTAACATGACAAACTTGGAATGAACATTCCCCCCAACCCCCAAAAAAAGGTTTTGAATCGTTAAGCTTTTAGAGCAGGCTGGCATCCAGCCACATGCTCTGGGCATGCCATTTTTGTCAATTAAAGTTTCTGAAGAGCGTTCCTGTGTTGCCTTGCTTCATGAGATAGGAGTTGTGAGTTGTGGACCAAAAACTTGTCAACATATTCTTGTCTTCATGAGATAAAACATCGATTTTTGGCGAACGTCCGACAAATCCTAAGTCACTGGCTAGTAGTATATATGGATACGCTATGACACTATGATACGCTCTTTGCGATAATCCACACCTTCCAAAGAACTCTAACGCTTGGCCATTCAGGCTCTCCTTGAGAGGCTTGCCGCGGCTCACCACTGTGATTAGCTGGACTGAGCAACTCTCCTTCGCAGCCTCGGCCACACTGGTGACAGGAGCCTGACAGGACCCAACAGCCTACCTCGCAAAACTACTAGCAGTTGTGTTAGAACCAAGGGTAAAATTATGGTCAGGATCAAAAATCAACTCAGGCCATGGCCAAAGCTTCTATCAGGTCTTTCACCGTGCCAGCGGCTGGCAATTCCATTTCAAAAGCTACAGCTGCGCCGGCCACGGCCTTTTTCACTTGAAAAAGCACCGTGGCCATTCCCGCAGCATCACCTCCTGAATGAACAAAGACTGAAATTGAAGATCAAACGGAAGCACACTTGCCGGCAACCATTTGACTCTGTTGACCATACTTTGTGGGTCCACTTGGCCTCCTCTATGCTAAAGGAAAGGGGCATATGACTCATATGACATCATATGACATATGTGGAGCCCCAGTTGTCTCCAAGCTGCAGGAAGAGGACGCCTCAAAATACTCATTGCGCTTTTTACAATTGATGCCGAGCCCTTGGGGCATGCGAGGCTCTCGAGAAAATGGCTTGGGCTGGCCTTGGGGGACAAGGTCCAGCCAATGCCTTGCAAACATCCCATGTACAAGATATGCATTTAGTGAAACTTGCAACAGGGCCACGGCCCCGTCAAAACCATTCATTCACCGATATTTACACTTCACCATTCCAAGTTCTCACCAGACTCAGTCTGCGGGAGTCTTCAGGCAAGTGCAGCGTCCAGGGAACACCGTCACGCACCAAAGGTCATGCCTGATGCCCGTCTGTACATTCGCCGGTAGTCAAGCGGGAACAAAGCCTTCATAAACTCTTTCTCATCAATTCCACCACTGCCATCAGTATCGAATGCCATGAAAAGGTCTGAGGCCTTGGGGATCGGCACTATAAGGAAAAGCAAATGCAGTGACTTGGGCCAAATCGGATATATAGTGTCTAAAGTCTAAAGGAATTTTGCAGTAGCTGTGCATAAGTAGCTTAGCATGATACCTTGGGTTTGCCAAATGCCTTGTAGTATCAAACATGTTTAACTAAACATTCCACCCAAAAGGACCTCCGATGGCTTCATTCCAATCTTCATCCTGGAGATCAAGTCCTTGGTGAAAAAGTGGACATTGGGCTGCTCCAAGGGTGTTCGCTCATATTCAAGACCAAAGGCCAAAGGGATTTCAAGGCATCTTTAGGAAAGTTTCGACGAATTCGTCCATACCAAGCTCGCCGTTTCCATCTGAATCAAACTTCTTGAAAAGCCGGGGCATATCACCTGTGAGTCTGCACGCAGGCTGGAGCTCATTAAATTGCATGTGAACGGACTATATATATATATAGTGTCTTGTCTCAACCTCCAGGTCATCCGTTTCATTCAGCATCAACCTCTGGAAATCTTGTGGACATAAAAACTCTACATTGTAGCCGTGAGACCGGCAGATACGCCCCAGTTCTTCAATCTCTGCCGGGCTCTGGTCACGAGCAGAATTCGATGCCGATCAGACCATGTCTGAGACATAGCATTGCCCACCACCTTTGCGGCCCGTCACCCATGCCAGTCGTCAAATGTGCCAGTAACAAGAAGCTATTAGCGGCTCCTGGCATCACTACTAGGAGCAAAGATGCTACTAGGGGCTCCTGGCCGTACTACTAGTAGCAAGAAGCTAGTAGTAACTAGTAGAAAACAATTATCAAAACAGAAGGCTACATCGCTCCCAACACACCACCACCCGGAGCCATGCATCACTCATGACGGCTACTTGGCACTCTGAGTTTCAAGCCGAGAGAGGCATCGCCATGAAAAGAACGCTGATGAAGCAAAGCATTCCAGAGACAATCTTTGCCGGCCACGATCTTGGTGTGATGTCACCTTGCTCACGAAAAGGCGCGGTAACGCACAAGCTATATGGCGAATGTGTGTGCGCGCACAGTTCTATGCAAGTAGGAAACTTCGCATGAGTTTCCAACACTGTACATCTAAGGTTCAGAAATTGCTGAGAGGTTCTGAGCATCCTGCCATAGCCAACAGTAGTAACAGTCACGGTACACATCCAAATTGCAGTTGCAAGTGAGTCTATATTCTCTGGATCATCAACTGCATAGAGCACAGTGGAGAACACAAGCACCTCGAAACGACTGCCAAAATGGTTGGACTTAGCCTTTGCACACATGCACAAAAATACAGCGCAAGAAGTTATATTCGCATAGTTCCGTTCTCGGAAACTTTGCCAAGCATTGGCCGAGTCTCAATGATGGAGACCATGAAGAGCAAAAGCTTTAGTGCATCAATAACTGTAGATAGGACATGCCTGGGACACCGTCGTTGCCAAAAATTGGATTCCGACACTCCGACCTTCTCACATATGAGCGCCATGACATCCCTGTCTCTTGCTTTGAGCGTGTTGCGGACCGCTCGGCATCAGAGCCTGGATGTACAGGCGTACAAGCCTGACATTTAGATCCGTAGAATCGGTAGGAAGCGTTCCAACAAACCTGCTGGATGATTGCCTGCCTGCCAGTTTGTTGTCTTACAGTACCTGCTTCTAGTCTCCCCATTTCATGCCATCTTGGAGCAAAGCTTCATAATCTTCATACCAAATCGGCAAATCGGTATCGATTCGTTGGTGTTGCGTTTGCGTGTACCTGTCCTCGTGTCATTGTTCATGAACAAATTCTCGGAATCCTAGGATAATTTCTATGTTCGGTGGTGCTGCGTTGCATAGCTTCGCCGTCTGTTGTGTCAATGCTCCTACATTCTCCTTGACACATGGCGGATTTATGCTGGCGCTCCTTGCATGCAAACTAGTAAACCATTGGGTGTCAAGATCTGATGCTTTGCGACAACATCTTTGCAACAACTCTGAGTGATCCCCTCCATGCCATTTTGTGTTGTTGCTGGAAACGGGAAGCTGATTTGCAAGAGCTGCTGTCTGCTTTGGTTGCATCTACTGACCTGCCCCTGAATAGGCTGAGAAAGCAGGCTAAGGAAAGCCAGCATGTTGCTGGATCCGGAAGCACGAGTGAGTGGCAAATGAAAACTAAAAGGCACCGCCTGATGGGAGTAAGAAAGGACTGCTTGGGTGGCCGCCCTGTTTGCGAAGCTCAGGACCCACAACCCTGCAACACCCCAGTCAACATATTATTCTCAAAAACTTGACGTGCGACATTCGTTCTGCTCATCATCTTCGAACTTATACATTCAATACCCAAGACACCACCTCAGCGCATACCATGCTGCAAAAGTTGCAAGCAAACAACTTCAGCCCAGCCCAGCCCAACAGCTGGCTTTTGTAACATTCAATAGCCAATGGAAACATCGGTCCATCCACCCACGTACCATTTATCCATACTTCCTTCTCAAAGCCTGCTGATGAACATCACTCCAACCGAATTTACGAACGTGGACCTTTGGCTCAATCACTATCGTCTATTCCATTGCATTCATCCCACCGATCCATCCTTTTGCCCATTCATCCAACACTCAAGCCTACCCCCGAGCCCAACCCCAAAATATATATACCCTTTCAATGCATCCTGGAATATCATCCTGGATATATAACCCCTGCCCTTCCCAGCACAACTGCCTCCTAGCAGGGGCCTTAACAAGGGGAAGGAAACCAGGCCTGCAAAACAATTGCTAAAGAGGACCCAGAGCAATTGTGCAGAGACAAGAGTGCAGAAAGGAATGGGGAAGCTAAAGCAGCGGAGAGACAGGCAAGTCTTGGACCGCAGATTGCTGGTAAGTGGAGCATGAGCCTGGGTCAAAACTCTTTACAGGGCCTCTTCTTGCCTAGTGGCCTAGTGATTCAATGAGTCCCCTATCATTTTAAAGTGTTTGTACGTTGTTCCTAGAATGCCACTGCAAGAGAGCTCTTGGACAAGTCCTCCGGCCTATACAGTAACTCAAAAAGACTGGAGTTGCTGAGAAATCCCTGTGCAATTTTAGGCTCACACACGGCCACAATTCAATAAGTACAGTAAGTCACAAACATAGATTATCGGTTTTTGTGAGCCCCCCTGGGCCCTATTGTTCTACAGGGGTTTGAGCACGTGTTACTAACAAAATGTAAATTTGCCTTCTACTTCTACGTGGTGCTTTGGCAATCCTTCCTGGCACCAGACCACTCATTTCAAGTTCAACCCAGTCATTGTCAAGACGCTCCGCCTCAAACCTCAATCTACGAACTGCATTCATTATTCGAGGCGCTACATTTGCAAAGACACAACATTACATACGTATACGGCAGTACGGCCGAATATGTATATAATTGTATAAACAAGCAATACGTATCAACATGTTGCTTTATGCCGATCTAGAAGAGCAGCAGAATTTAGCAAGTAAAGACCAAACCTCCGTATCAATCACCCATCCAATGCAAAAACTAGCGGCTACATAACTTCACAACCTAGCCTCCAACAATTGGCTGAAAATTGCACAAGGAAGGCATCAAAAAAACTGCAGCCTGCCGGTATTGCAATATATTTAGAGCTTTCTTGCGTGCCCTTTTGCCCTGTATAGTCCCGAGATCTCACAAACCACTTACAGAATTGTGTCAAAACGGCTCCATTTCAGCTGAAGCACAGAAGGAGTTGGAGCTTCTGAAATCGGCGCACGAGCTTCAGCATGCGTATCAAGGGCACAAAGCAAACCAATACATAGTGAGCAACTGGGTTCTCTTCCATCGTCGGAGTCGTCACACCAACAGCGAACCGAAGGGGCAATGGAGCAATAGCCAAAATGTCAATTGCATTGTAAGGGCTTTTTGCCCAAACCTTGGCGGAAGAACCAGAAGTGTATATATGTTTTGCTTATTGCTTGGTTTTTCTGTTTGTAAGAGGGTTGGCGGCCGAAGGGGAGGTGAGGTAGCTAGTAACTAGCAGTAACAAGATGTGTGGTAGCAGAAGCTAGTAGTAAGAATGAAGCAGCTAGTGGCAAAAACGCCACACCCTTCCCATGGTCTGTTCCTAGATTTTTCTGGAAACGGCTAGCCACCTTGAACCCTTGGCTGGCGTAGTAGTGTGCTGCACAGTCAAAGATGAGCAGCACCTTGCAGACCCGAAGTTTCATGAGATACGCGGGCCATTGCTACAGCATATATATCTATATTATATATGTATACACACAATGCATGCGATGCATATCTCTCCGGCAGGCAAATTGATGCATTCACATGGCTTGAACGGGCTTTCTGGTCTTATTGACCTCCCAAATGCCAAATCTTACATGCATTTCACTCCCCAGAGGAGTCAACCAAACTTGATCATGCCACATCTCGCAAACAA